CTTCCGTAGTGATACTGCCTCGGAAACCCAAGGAGGGGTCGCCTATGAGCCAGGTTTGACTCGACGGCACATAACAACAACAACAACAACAACAACTTGTCTTCAAGCTTTTGTATTGTAACTTGAACCGTGCAAACCTTTCGGAAAGCGTTATCCTTTGTGGGTTGTAGAGGAGGTGCATGAGGAAAGCTGGTCCCAGAACAATGTGAAGCTGACACAGCTCAGATTCAGTGGCCTTTCCCTTCTCCCTGGTGCCCTGTCCCCTCTCTGCCTTTTGGCGACCCTTTATGACTCCACCCATAAGAGGACCCATAAGAATCTTCCCATTCACAGGACTCCCTGTGTGGTGCAAACAGTGATGCTGGCAGCTGCTAACTGGAAGTTTGGAGGGGCTACCCCACCCAGAAGTGCCTCGGAAGAAAGGCCTGGTGATCTACTTGCAAAATATAGGCCTCTGAAAAGTCTGTGGAGCTCAGTTCTTTCTACTTTGACACATGCGTCACACCATGCATTGGAATCCACTCAAAACCAACTTTAAAAGAAGAAAAAAAAGTAGTGTTGGTTTTGTGCTGGCCACTGTGTGCTAAGCACTTGGTATGCATCATCTCATTTCTTCTTCACAGCAAACCTGGGGAGTGTCCATTATTTCCCCTTGAATATTCATCACATTCATAGAATGAAGGAGAAAAGTCCACTGATCATCTCACTAGATGCAGGGAGAATGTTTGATAAAAATCAAGCTCATTCATACTGAGACTTTGCAAACAATCACGGTAGAGGATTTTATTATTCCGATAGAGGATGCTGTCTTAGGCTGGGTTCTTCAAAGGAGCGAAGCCAGTGAGGTGTATATATAGGTATCCCCTGCTTTTTGAAAGTTCCCTTTATGCTACTCCACTTTCATGAAAGATCAACATTAGTCCCTGTTTTTGCTAATGGAAAGAAATCTGAAGAGGATTTTGGCTTTTATAAAAAAAAGGCGGAAAGTGAAGCTAGCCTTCATTTTGTTTTGCAGGGAGCCATTAAAGAGGCAGTGCGCTCCCTGAGCAGAGGTGGTGATGTCACCAAGCTCCTTTCCTGGAGGCACACTCAGTGTCTCAGCATGGAGCTGCCGCAGCTCCTAAGTGTCTGTGAGCACTGTAGCCAGTGCTGGTCTAGGTTTTATGTGTTAGTGGGTACGATTGGGCAGGTTATTGGCTGAGAATGCTCAAAATTTTTCCCATGTGGATTAATGTAATTACTTCTTCGCTTTAGGGCATCTCACTGTACTAAAGGTTTCATGTTGTTGTTGTTGTTGTTATGTGCCGTCGAGTCGGCCCCGACTCATAGCGACCCCTCCTTGGGTTTCCGAGGCAGTATCACTACGGAAGTAGGATTGCCCAACCTTCCTTCCGAGGAGTGGCTGGTGGGTTTGAACCGCCAGCCTTCTGGTTAGCAGTCAAGTGCTTTAGCCACTATGCTACCAGAGCTCCTAAAGGTTTCATAGGAACGCTCAACTTCTGGATAGTGAGAGAAGTCTGTATATATAAAGGAGATACACAGAGAGAGATTTGTTTCAAGGGAATGACTCATGCAGTGGTGGAGGCTGGCACGTCCCAAGCCCACGGGCCAGCCATCAGGGTGGAGGCTTCTCCTGACTCACATGGCTGCCGGGGCTGATGAGCCCCAAAGCGGCAGGTCAGACAGCAGGCTGCTGGTTCACATTCCAAGAACCAGGGATCAGAGGGTGATGAGTTGGACGCAGGATCCAGAGAGGGCTTTGCTGGAACATCCATCTATATTGGATGTAGGCCACACCCCCTATGAAACCGAATGGCTTTTCAACTGATTGGTTGCTCACATTGTATCACAAAATAGAGGATGATGACATTATATTGCATGATGGAAGACCGATCAGTCCAATGTCTTTCAGGCCACTGAGAATCACAACCTGGCCAATGGATGCATCACATTAGCCATCACAGACACCTTCAGACACCTTACAATGAACACCATCCCTGCTATCATTACTTTCAGTTGACATAAGACTACAAATCTCCGCTTGTATTAAGGCACGGGGGAGAAGTAAAATGCTAAAAGCCTGGGAAGGAAAGTATAAAACTGTCATCATTCATAGACTACCTGATTGTTTTTATAACAAAACTACAAATGAATCATCTGATAAAATATTATAGCTTTGGTAGTTACAAGGAGACCTGGGAGAGCTGGAACTTGGAGGAACAACCTTGTTTTTTCAGGTCTCACAAGTTTTTTGCCTTTGACCGGCACAGTCTAACCACTCTTCTACGTCTCCTGTAAATGGAACATATTTGAGTTTTCCTTCTCTGACAGGTTTGCACCTTACACAGGTTCCAGCTTTCACAGCTTTTACCATATAATGATATTGTTGGATTCATAGCCAACATATAAATATAAAATGCCTTGTGAGTACAAGCAAAGAACCCTGGTGGCATAATGGCTAAGTGCTTGGCTACTAACAGAAAGGTTGGCAGTTCAAACCTACCTAGAGGCTCTGTAGGAGAAAGACCTGGTGATCTGCTCATGTAAAGATCAAAGCCTAGAAAACCCTCTGTCACAGAGGTCGCCACGAGTCAGAATGCAACGTGTGTACAAGCAGCAAAAACGAGAAAATGAAACAGAAAAACTATGCCACATACAACAGGACTGAAATGAACACAAATGCCTGGGAATAGTCATAACAACAGGTAGTACAGCCTCTTCACAGCGTACATAAAACATTACTGAGAGAGTTATAAAACCTTAATGAACAAAACAATGTGGCATGTTTGTGGCTTAGAAGGCTCAATAATTTTCAATGTAAATTCTTCAGTCACTGACACATAGATGAACTACAATTCCATAAAGATTCTAGCAGAGTTTTATAGAAATTGGCAGATTCATTCAAATATTTATATAAAAATATGAAAGGCCAAGAAAAGCCCAGACAATCTTGAAGAAAAAGTAGATATTCGAGGACTTTTGCTAGTATCAAGAGTATCAATAAAGTTACAGTAGTGAAGACAGTGGAGTATTTGCACAAAAGTGGAAAAATTGCCTGATGACACTTCAGAGATGCTGAAAAATAACCTGCTTCTCTATCACTCTCTCTGTCTCTCTGCCTCTCTCTATAGATGGATGGATGGATGGATAGACAGATGAAAGATAGATATAGATATAGATAGATAGATAATGTGTATATACATATGCATATACACATATCAACCACCAACCTACTACCATTGAGTCAATTCCAACTTATAGCAACCCTATAGGACAGAGTAGAACTGCCCCAGAGGGTTTCCAAGGCTATAAATCTTTATAGAAGCAGACTATCTCATTTTTCTCCCATGGAGTGGCTGGTGGGTTTGAAGTGCTGACCTTTGGGTTGGCAATCCAATGCTTTAACCACAGGGTCACCAGAGCTCCTACACGCAGCAAAAAACCAAACCAATCTCACTGCCATTGGGTCGATTCGACTCATAGCGACCCTTCCTTGGTTTTCCAAGGTGGCAAATCTCTAGGGAAGTAGATTGGCCAGTCTTCCTTCCAAGGAGTGGCTGGTGGGTTTGAACTGGCAGCCTTCAGGGTAACAGTCAAATGCCTTAGGCACTATGCCACCAAAGCTCCTACATGCACACATACATCTATATATGTTCTATGTATATAATTAAGGCAAAGGTGGTTAACTGAGAGCTTGGGAAAGGGAACATCTTTAAATAAATGATGCTTGGTTACTTGCTATCAATAGGGGAAAAATACATTTCCCCTACATTGCCCTCTACACAGAACTCAATTCTGGGTGAAAGTCAGTCAAGAGTGAGTGGCTTTATGATCTTTGTGTAAGCAAAGATTTCTTATACAAGACACGGAGAGCAGTAAACAAAAGGAAACAAAATCATGAATTGGTCATCTCTAAAATTAAGGACCACTCGGAAACAAAAAAGATGAAGCTTCTTGCAGTATGTGAAGCTGACAAAAGACTCCTATATATGATACCTTTCGCTGATTTCCAAATGGCAGCAATCAACATTCCAGGGATCAACACTGACCCACTCAGACTTCAGAACGACAAGGCATTTCACTCAAAGGTAGTTCAGTATTTTGCTCACCGATGCTTTAGTTAACATCAGTGTCATGACCTGACACATCCTCTTCCCCAAGTCCCTTCACATCACTGAGTGATTTCAGGTACATCCCGAGGACGGTGTACGCACCTTCGGTCTTCTTCCAGTAGACCTTGACCTGCAGTTGGTTGTCCTGGTAGAAGGGAGCTCCGATTTCTAGTAGCCGGGTGGTTCGTCGTCTTGGGAAAGGGGACTGAGTTTGAATCACACCCTTTCCAGCTTTCCCAAGTGGCTCTTCTACAAAAAATTCAAAGTACAGCATCCTGACTTACTTGTTAAAATGACCATACAACAAAACAAAACAAAACAAAAAAACCAAGTTCACTGCCATTGAGTTGGATCTGACTCATAGTGACCCCTCCTTGGGTTTCCCAGGTGGTATCACTATGGAAGTAGATTGCCCAATCTTCCTTCCAAGGAGTGGCTGATGGGTTTGAACCGCCAGCCTTCTGGTTAGTAGTCAAATGCCTTAGGCACCCAAAAGGAATCCTGGTGTATTTCATTTCGTTATTATTTCACATTCAAAACCAACCAAACTCACTGCCATCGAGTTGATTCCGACTCATAGTGACCCCCAGTGGTCTTCCAAGGCTGTCAATCTTTACAGTAGCAGACTGCCCAGTCTTTCTTCCATGGAGCAGCTGTGGGGTTCAAACCATTGACTTTCTGGTTAGCAGCCAAATGCCTTAACCATTAAACCACCAGAGCTCCTTTCACATTGTTGTTATTGTTGTTGTTGTTAGGTGCTGTCGAGTCGTCTCTGACTCATAGCAACCCTATGCACAGTAGAACGAAACACTGCCTGGTCTTGTGCCAGCCTCACGATCCTTATTTCACATTAGTGCCTGTTTTTTAAAGTGAAGTATTATGTGACCACAGATTGTTTCCATGCTCATGTTGAGGACCCTGCCTTCATGAGACACTGAAATACCTGAAGACGTACATAATCCCAGAATTTAAGATGATCATCCATAGTATTCACCATGCAGAAAGATGCTTTGATAAGAAAGTTGGGACATTTAGGGGGAAAACAGTCTTTCTCTTAATAGAACATTTTAAAGTAGCTATGAAAGATGTAAAATAATATTATATTAGCAGTTAATGGAAGCAATAGATAGCTTTTCACAGAAATGCAGACATTATCCATCAATACTCTGGCCAAGTCCAACTTTCTCAGATTAGTAGCAAAGAGTCCAAATTGAATTAACAATGGTTAAATGCCACCTTCAGTCACAGCACTCAATGACTAAAGTACACTGCTGAAATTAGTGACAGACATTCTGAAATCTGACAGATATTCAAGTGGAAAAAGAAACTATTCAGCAAGTGGAATGGAATTCAACGTTGCCAGTATGTCAGAATGAGGAGTAGGATGTAAGGACACATCCATTCACTTTTTCCTTCCTCTGTAAGCACTCAGTGACTGGGTGGAACCAAGGTTTAACATGCTCAGCTGCTACCCAAAGACTGGATGTGCAAGTCCACCCTGAGGGGCCTCAAGAAAAGGCCTGTGATCTACTTCTGGAAACTCAGCCAGGCAAACCCCATGGAGCACCATTCTAGTCTGACACACATGGGGGCCATGGATCAGAACTGACTCCATGGTACCTGGTTACTACTTTCCTAAGAGCCAGGAACTGAGCCTGAAGCTGGAGGTATAAAGCTTTTGTACCTGAGGGGCTCTCGAAATAACAAAAGACATGTCTACAGAAAACTATATCACACAATGGAGGGCTCTACTCAAGCCATGCACACAAGGCTATAGGAGCAGAGTTGGGATGGAAGGGATCACGCAAGCCTGACCAGCTCCTGTTAAGTGTTCCTGGGACAAGTGCTCACAGATGTTCTGGCGACTGAGGCACAGGAGTGCAGTGCAGATTATTTTAATATCGGATGATACTTTAGGAGGGAACCGGGACGCATTGGGGAAGACAAGATGAGAATAACTGTCCATGCTCGTTAATGCTTGGTTTTCTTTTCAATATTAACTTTTTATTCCTATTATCTATTTAAAATGCACTCCATATACAATCATTACAAAGCAAGGACAATATAGAAGTGAATAAGAATGAATTACGTTGTTGGCAAAGACTATTGAACACACCATGGACTGACAGAAGAACAAACAAATCTGTCTTGGAAGTACAGCCAGAGTACTCTTTAGAAACGAGAATGGCCAGACTTCGTCTCTGATACTTTGGTCATGTTCTCAGGAAGGACCAGTCTCTGGAGAAGGATGTTGTGCTTGGTAAAGTGGAGGGTCAGCAGAAAAGGGGGAAGACCCTTAACGAGATGGACTGACACAGTGGCTGTGACGATGGGCTCAGGCACAGCAAGGATTGGGAGGCTGGTGCTGGACTGGGCAGCATTTTGCTCTGTTGTACACAGGGTCGCAATGAGTCAGAGCGACTCGACAGCAACTAACAACAACAGGAATGACCCCAAGCCCCAAGAGTCCCACATCCAATGGGAGATAGAGACATGCTGCTGTAAAACAAGGCATGATGGAATATTTCTCTGAGTTGGGCAATTTTTAACACTAGGCCATTTCCGATTGTGTCTGTTGAGGGTCATGATGTGGCTCTACAGTTAGTTTCCTTTTTGTTTTTCTGTTTGAATTCAGCTGCATCTTCTGCTGCTGGTGCTATGAATGAAAGCTAATCACCAGAACCAGCCACGCTCCTGTGCATGTTTATATTTCTAATTTCTTTAGCTCAGAATGCACCAGCACTGCTTTCTGCCTGGTACAAACTTTTTATCCTTCCAAAACCTCTGTAAGCTCTTATACTAACTCCTTGGTGAGCATCTCACATGGTTGCCTAAAACAAACCTCTCTGAAGTGCTTGTCTTAGCTCTTCAGTGCTGCTGTAACAGAAATACCACAAGCAGATGACTTAACAAACAGAAATTTATTCTCTTGCAGCTCAGGGGGCTAGAAGTCCAGATTCAGTGCACTGGCTTCAGGGGAAGGCTTTCCCTCTCTGACAGCTTAAGGGGAAGGTCCTTGTCTCCTTTCAACATCCATGGGCCCAGAATTCTTTGGAGATCTCTATGTATCGTGACATCAATTTTCCCCTGGGTCTAGGAAGTTCTAAGCACAGGGACCCCAGGTCCAAAACATAAGCCCTGCCCCTGGTTCTTTCTTGGTAGTAATGAAGTCCCTCCTCCTCTGCTCACTGCTTTCTTCTTTTATCTCTTGTAAAATACAAGATGATGGAGACCACGCTCAGGAAAACTACCCTAAGGTCAGATTAGGGCTGAGAGTAACGTTGTAATTCTTTCACAGTTGATTGGCTGCTCACATCAGATCATATTATAAGGGAGGACTGCATCAATACGTAACCTCAAACCACCAAGAATCATGGCCTGGCCACCTTGACATACAGAGTGGGAGGACACAATTCAGTCCATGACAGTGCTCCAGGATTTTTCCAATCTTGAACTCATTTTTTTTCTTTCATTTGCTCCTCCTTTGATTCCTTCTTTCTGAATTCCAACCAGCCCAAAGGTTGTTGTAATTGTTGGTGTGTATGTGTCGAGTTGATTCTGAATCATAGTGACCCTATAGGACAGAGTAGAACTGTCCCACAGGGGTCCTAGGCTGTCATGTATATGTAAGCAGATCATCAGGTCTTTCTCCTGTGAAGCCATTGTTGTTGTTGTTGCTAGGTGCTGTCGAGTCATCTCCAACTCATAAAACCCTATGGACAGCAGAAGGAAACACTGCCCAGTCCTATGTCAGCCTCACAATCCTTGCTATATCTGGGCCCATTGTTGCAGCCACTGTGTCAATCCATCTCACTGAGGGCCTTCCCCTTCTTTGTTGACCCTCCACTTTACCAAGTGTGATGGTTGTGTTGTGTGTCAACTTGGCTGGGCCTGGCTGAGTGGCTGGGCAGCTGGATGTAGTATTCCCCATAATAAGACTGGTAATCAACTCCATGGTGGAATCTACTGTGAGCAGCTGAGTAGCTGCCTTGGGTGTGTGGTCTGCTTCCTGTATATAAGGAGAAGTTTTGAGAATGGTCTCTAGCCTGTGGCATGCTTGGACCCTGCATGTAGCCGTATCATTGCTCAGCAACCTGCCATGCTCTGCTGACCTTGGGACTTATGGTAGACTTAAGTTAATGGCCTGCTGTGTGGTTTGGTAACCTCGGGACTGTGCCTTTTTACTTGTCAACCTTGGGGCTTCTCAGCCTC